CGCAGGGCTGGTGCAGGATGGGGTAAGGGCTGGGGGCAGGCACTAAGCTCCCTGCAACACCAAACCCTGTACATCTGTCCCTCTCTGTCTGTCCATCTGTCCATGCTCCTTCTTCAAGCCTTCACATGTTACCCTATAGTCCTGGTGCCTGTGGGGCAGCCATGTGGGGTGAGGGTGGCAAGCAAGGGCCAGGCTGCATGTCCTCCCCAGCCGGGAAGGCGGTCTGCGTGTGCACACGCATGTGGCCTGTCACACACCCAGCTGATTCACACAAACCCTCTGGGTGTGTCGGTGGGAGACACAGTTGCTGGCTTTCCCAGGTGCCCAGCCTGAGCTGGATGCTGCAGACGCTGCCGGGGGCTAAAAGGAGAGCCCTGTTCCAGGAGCTCCGGGAGCGGCAGAGAAGGTGAGAAACCCAAAAGAATTTGTTGTTGTTGTTCATCCTGACCCGAGGATATTTTTTCCCATTGATTTTTTTAGAGAGTGGAAGGGAGGAGAGGAACGGAGAGAGAGAGAGAGAGAGAGAGAGAGAGAGGAGGGCATGGGCACTGGGGCCAGGAATGAAACCCCAACCCAGGTATGTGCCTTTGACTGAGAATCAAACCCGTGACCCTTCAGTTTGAGCCACACGGGCCAGGGCAAACCAAAAAGAAGTTTTAATGGAGGTACTTCCAGATTGTCATAAGTACCGTGTGGTGAGCAGGATACTGAGAAAGAGAGAGCCATGGGGACAGGAAGGCCAGGCGTAGCCCCCTAGGGAGGGGCCTGACTGCACTGAGGGTGGCCGGGGAAGGAAGACTCCACAGAGGGACTAACACGCAGAGTCCCTGCGGCCCGGCCGGAGTGAGCTTGGCGGCCCATGTGGCTGTGCGGTGGGCAATGGGGCAGCCGTGGGAAGGGGACAGAACTGGTAGAGCCAGGCCAAGCAAGGAGTGTGACCTGACCTCGAACTGAGGGAGGGCCTTGGGGGTCTGAGCACACCGGGGACCACTGGACTTGTGTCCTGAGAAGGCCGTCTGGCCTGAGAGGTCCGCTCTGTCCTCCACGTGCACAGAGCTCAGAGCGTGTCCAGGTCGGGGAGTGGCGAGCCTGTGGAAGCTCTCACGTCACCTGGTGGTCCTGTGAGCTCTGGCTCCTTGGCCCTCTTGCTCTATACAGGGTCTGCTCCCTCCATGGGTTCGTCGGGATTCAGGGGGGACAGGAGCCAGTGTGAATGCCCAGGCCCATTTTTCTGGGGGCTGATTCTGGGAGGCAACACACCCTGGTGGATTAAGCTGTGCCCCATTCCACACCCTGTCCTGTCTCATACTCCCCACTCCTCTCTCTTGCTTCCTGGGGTCGCCTCCCAATCGCCCCCCCCCCCGCCCTCCCCAGACCCAGGCTCTGCCTTGGCAAGGCAGGCAAGTGAGCGGGCCATGTGGCCGCCAGGCAGGGGCTGGCGGGGAAGCCTGCTGTGCACACCTGGGCCAGGGGCTGTGCTGGCCCCGGCCTCGCCCTCTGGATCCAGCGGCCCCATCCAGTTCCGGGGCTCCCTGAGCAGCTTCTGTGATCCCACCGTCCGGGGGTGTGGGGTCCTATATGAGAGTGGGCGCCCCATGCTGTCCCTTGAACGGAGGAGCATTGCAGCGGTGCGGAGGGGCAGGCATAGGCTGTCTTGTCCATAGGCCGTGTCTTTGCACGGCCCTGTGGGTGGGTGGGTGCTTGGTCCAGTCACAGCCCAGGATCAGGCCGGGGCACCCCAACACCCTAACACCAAAGTGGGCTCACCCAGGCCCTCTTTGACAAAGGAAGGAAGGTGCTCATTCCGGGGCCACCTTCCCCTGCTGCCCCATGCCTCTGGCAAGAGCCCCCTCCCCTCTCAGCCCCGAGTCTGAGCCCCAGGAGGATCAAGGGAGGTGAAGCCCGGGGACATTGCAGAGGTCACACCAGCGCTGGCGGGGAGGAGGGCGAGGATTAGTGGCAGCCAGGAGCCATGGCAACAGGACAGTGGCCCGATGGACTCCCCAGGGACGACCCCTGGACCCCTTGCATGGGGACCTCCACCCTAGCTGTGAACTCTTCCCTGGCCTGGGGTCCCCCACTTTCAGAGGCTGAAGCCAGAGGCTGCTGGACAACGTCTGCCCCTCTCACAGCCACCCATGCCAGGCTCAGCCATGCTGCTGAGGCTCTGTGATTATTCAAAAGCGACGGAGGCAGGCTCCAGTCTACCTGGAACACCCAGAGGCCCCCTGTCTGTGTCCCCAGGGTCCCCAAGCTGGGGCAGGCCCTGGCAGCTGCGAGGTACTCTCTGTCCTCTGGCCAAGCTGGCCCTCCCCCCACTCCACCGACGGGCATGCTGCCTCTCACCTTTGCCCTGGCTGTGCCCCTGCCTGGTGTCCCCCATCTCCCTTTCCCCATGTAATGCACCTGTCTGTCTGCATGCCCCTCTCTCCAGGAAGCTCCCCAGGCTGCCCCACATGGGTTGTCTGCCCCTTGGCCGCCCGCTACTCCCAGACCACATCCCTTGGCAATGTCTGTCCTGGTTGCAGGTGTGAATGCTGGTGAGCGAGCGTCTGCCCCCCTCCACCGTGCAGATGTCACTGTGGGCTCACGGGAGGCAGGGGCCTTTGCAGGTGCCTGAGCCCCTGAGGGTCTGGGGGAGACTGGCTGGCCCTGCTGGCCCTGGTCTTAAGGCTTCAGTGGGCACCTCCTTAAAACGGAGGCGCATTAACATGCAGCTTCCCAGGCCGCCCGGCCTTCAGCATGGGAGGGCTTCACCCACGGGGCTCACTGGGCACTGGGCCAGGCTCCCTCCAGGCCCAGGGATGGAGGCAGGACCAGAGACCAGCCCCTGGTAAAGGGGCCCCGAGTCTGGCTCAGCTGGGAGGGAAGGGAGGAGGAGGAATTTGGGTGGACTGTACCCTGGAGACTTGGCATCCAGCACCACCTCCATTGCTGAGACCCCACCTTCCTCCCCCCAAAAAAACAGCTCTTTCCTCACTGGCAGGCTGTATACCACCCAGGGACACTCTCATGGGCTCAGGGCCTCTCAGGTGTGCACTCCCAGGTGAGTCCTGAATGTCTAGACAGCTGGAGCCCAATGGCCAACCCCCAGGTAGAGAGCCTGTGGCATCAGACATGGGGCTTATGAAGGAAGAGGGAGAGGCCAGACACCAGGTGGGGGCGCAGCCTGGGAATGGGAAAGGCAAGTCCTAGATCTTCATTTGAAAACGGGGCAACTGAGGCTCAGAGAGGGCAGGTGCTAGGCTGGGCACAGAGCAAAGGTGGGCTGAATCTGAGTCTCTGGACCCCCAGCCTGGAACCTGCTCAGGACACCCTGCTGCCCTCGAATGGAGGAGCACTGCAGGAGCAGGGAGGGCACAGGCACAGCTGTCCTGTCCTAGGGGGGCTGGGGTGTCCTGGGTGTGGCTGTGCAGCCCAACTGGGACCAGGCTCATC